ATGACCCTGAAATGACTTTGCTAACAGCTTCTTGCCAAATAATAATAATGATTAAAAAAAAAAAAAAAAGATTTGAATGGCTCATAAAAATGTGTAAATGTGTAAACTTATGTTTTGATGAAAACATCTGCATTTTGTTTGCATTTATTTATGATGCTGCAAAGACACAGATGCACACAGGCGGCTGGTGATTAACGTGGCTTGAGCCTGGCGCCAACAAGAGAGGAGTGACTGCTGGCTTCTAACTTTATTTATTTTGCATGGTACCATGCAAATGACTTTGAAAGGTTTAATGAGAAGAAAACAGAGGGGAAATGAACAAAGATGAGTTGCCTCAAGGAAATCATTACCACACATCATTACTCTTGACTACACACTGCAGTGAAAGTGGATGCTCTAAGATACTCACAATCCAGAAAGAAAGCATTTAAATGGGGCATTTAATTTAAATTTTCATTGGTTAATTTGCCCATATACATTCAGTCATCCTCCGGTCAGACAAGGGACAGACGTCTATGAGCTTTTAATGTGAAGAGTCACAAAGCAACAGCATCCAACAAAGTGGACGCAGAGGGACGTCCCAGATAAAGCACCGAGGAGTCATTTGTAGCGCAAAATAATAGCCCCACCTCGTCCCTCAGTGCGTGCAGGGTCTGCCTATTATTCTATTATATTTTGCTGTGTTTTTGTTTTGCTTTTCAGAACCTGTATTTAGAGCAACACAAAAAAGAAGAGTGGCCAGTATTTCAGTCTTCTCTACTGAGAAAAAAAAATAAAGAATTTATAGTGGGGGATGAAGATGAAGAAGAAGAAGCTTAATGAGAATCAATTTAGGGTTCTTTTATTTCTGCGTAGTCTTGGAGTAAAAGGGGAGGAAAAGCAGAAGACAAAGGGGGGCAGTCATCGAACAATGTTCAGGTCTGGGTTTGTATCCAGGACATGGTTTGTAAATGGCATGCCCTTTAATCAAGAAGCCGCTAGAGACCTTTACCTTTAGCCCTATATGTACTCCTATACACTGTGTCTGCTTAAAATAGCTACATGAAAAAGTGAGTCTGATCTACAAGCAAAGGCTTTAGTGTTAAGGTTTGACGGGCACTGGTGATATACTGGTTTAAAACTGAACCAGGAAGCCTGGTAAATTTTTATTTTATTAAATTTTTATACAGCTTTAGATTAAAGTGGATCTGTTTTCTGTTTCCTTCTTTTCTATAAACATATACTTTTACATCGGGGGAAATCATAATAAACATGGCCAAAGTTTGAAATAATGAGATCAGCATATGTCGGTGTTTGTTATCCCGGTGAGGCACAAGCTCGGGCTTGAGACGGCTCTACACACTTTCTATTCTGCAAGAAGTCAGAGAGAGGGGATATCCCATCTAAGGCACACGGTTCTGGCTGTAAGCACCAAAGTCCCACTCCCTTCTGCTCTGAACTGTCTGTTTAAAAGGGGCAGCCAATCAGGACAAAGCTAGCTTAAAGGGAATCCAGATCTAAGAGTAGAAATATGGACCTGGAAATGAAAATGTTGCGTTGACTTTGTGACTTTTTTCCAAGTTTAAACATTAACCTTCCTGTCTGAGTTTGGACAAACAAGAGGAATAAACCTTAGCAGAAAAATAAGGCCCAGACTGGTCCTTTTGTGGTGTCCTATGGGATGTGTAGACATTCTTATGAGGGCCTATCACAGGATATCCTCCGCTCTTTCAGCTGTGAACATTTTTTAATCAGTCTCTTAGAGTTCTCATTATTTAGCAAGGTCAGCCCGACATTTTGGCCAGAATTACGCCACATTAACAACTGATAACTGTCGTATTGTCAGTCATGTGACACAAAAACAGAATATCAGCCTCATCACGGGGTCATATGTTTATAAACCAGAATTTTTCCAATGTGACAAAAAAGAAATACGTCCTTAAAGATTCCTGATTTATAAGCATATAAAGCCTTAACGACTTTTCTTTTAAACCCACAGCTCTCCTCTAGCATATCCACAACACAAGACTCAAGAGAATATCACAAACTTTCCTCAAAGCATTTGAATCTCCCTTTGTTAAAGATTCCCATCAAATATAAACTGACACAGGAGTGCCAGTAAAAATACAAAGAGGATATGCTGTCATTTTAGAAAGGAGCATGGGCAGTAACAATTAATAACACGGATTTAAACTGATACAACACTGCAAAAATCTTAGTTTGACCAAAAGGTTTTTTAAAATGTGTGTAAACCATAATTTTACTGTTAGATTTTACAAACAGAAGCTGAAAATCTACCTGTTTGAGAAGCAGGAACACGTGAATGTGTAGCATTATTTCACTAGCTTACCTTAAAAAATGAGTTAAACATGGATCAACATCATATGTTGCTGCCGTTTGAGAAAAAAAAATGATGTTCAGCTGTAGTATTCTTTTGGTTTTTCATCACTTTTGCAAGCATTACATTTGTTGAACATGTACGGGGAGAAGTGAAGAGTGATGAGCGACAGAGGTACAAATGTGGCCAGACTTCACCCGGGAAACCCACTGAAAAGATGTGAACTAAATATACACCAAATAAAGAGGAAGAGTTGATCAAAATGCGCTTTTTTAACTGTCTGCAGTCACTCACATTGATCACAGTCTGTAACAGAGGAAATCGTGGTCATTTCTGAATCCATATGTCTCATGTTCTTCCTTAAAAATAGCACTGTATGCTAACATTGCCCACATTACACTATAGTATTACTTTTAACAGCATGCTAATATTCAAACTCTAGGGAAACAATCTGTTTTGGTGCTTCAGTTTTTAAAAAAAAAACCATTAGTGCTCATGTAGACACGGGTATCTACTCCACCAGAGAAATGGGCTTAAAATGTCAGCATCTGCCAAGTCTGTCTCTCATCCATCAGTCCCCTCACTCTCTGTGTTTCTTTCCTATTAGTCCCCTCTCCTCTGTGGCCACGCATAGGCCATCCCTCATCCTCACTGGATCCAGTAATTTCTCATTCGTTTTTAAATCAGACATGATGCACACAGCGGGCTAGAGCAGCTGAGCATTTCCATCCTCTTGATGGAGAGAAGCTCAAATGCAGTCAGAATCTTACTTTCCTCATCAAAAACACTAGGGACTTTCTTTTTTAAATTATTTCCATTAGTAAATAACAACAATAACCTCCGCTCAATTTCATTTCTTCTTCAAGTCTTTTGCTATATTTCATGTATTTTTTAAAAGCTCTAAATATTAATTTAGTGGGATAAACCTCTCTGGGATTGAAGGGCATGAAATGAAACCCACTCTATTTAATTCCCACCACTTCCTGCTTTTAATACCACAATAAAATGACTGCGGCCCGCAACGCAGAGCTGCCACTTCCTGTTTTTAATCACATTTCGGGACAATCACATTTTGAGATCACTAGGTGAGCCCAGCAGTCAGTGACAGGTGGTCTGAGCATCAGTTTTCTTCTGCATGCAAAACACACTGCACAGCATGCGTAGCTCATAGCCTGCACTCAATGACCCCAAAGTCACAGCTGCTCTCACCCAACCCCGATCCACTCTGTAGCTAGGAGTGGTTAAGCCAAACTGCACAAGAGATGCTCACATAACAGACCCTGATTATGTGCATCTGTTAACCTAAGCTAGATTTAAATGAACGTATAGGAAGATTTTGGTCTTATTAAGCTCCAAGGTCAACTGGGACTGGCTAGTAAATAGTGTCAGTCTCAGTTTCAAGCAGTGAAGTATTCAGTCTTGCTGGTCCAGCATCTTTAAAGGCAAATGATTACATTAATTGCACATTCAAAGGGGAGGCCTTCATTATTCATGTTGGGACTGCTTTGTCCTTTTTAAATGCTTTTATTTGTTTTGTGGCAGGCAGTTAATACCTACAATAAACTGTATGGATATTCCATTTTCTTCCAACATAGCTTCTTATCTGTAATATTTTGAAGCAGTCTAAATACAAGTTGTTTTTTGGGGTTTTTTGTGTTTTCTTGCCTTTCTTCTTCTTTTTAGGGTGGACTGTGACGAAGAAATCTCTCAGCAGGAGTGCTGTTCAGAGGCTGTTTAGAGGCTGTCACGCCCGGAAGGCGGGTGGGGTATGGGTTGAGGGGGGGAGACATTGCTGACTAGCCTTAATTTTGCGTTCAATTCACAACTTCTCGACGCTTTTGAATCGTCTTATGGAGGATCTAAGGACGAACACTGCGGCAGTTGATCGAGTATTAATCACCAGATGGCTTTCCCTTTAGAAAAGAGAAAGAAATCTAGTGATGTGGCTCCCTCCATCCAGACGCCTGCCTCTCTCTCCCGCACCTCCAAGACGCGCCAACACATCCTCACCTGGATGCGCACAAACAAACGCACACATACACACACACGTCACCCCTATACTCACAATCAGAGTATTACCGCCCGTTCACACACGCACGCACGCACGCACGAACGCACACACAAAAACACACAACCGTGCTGCATTTACGGACTCGTATAATCCGTAAACATGCAGCTGTTTCCCATCAGGGCCATGCAGATTAAGACGCCAAACACTGCCGCCCCTGTCACCGCTGTGCTGTAGATATTTTGATTAACAGCGCCGTGCATGCTTCAGCATCAATAGTCAGCTGATGCGGGCTTGTTTTCTGGTGAAATATTTATACGGGGATGTCACGACTGTACACGAGCTGTGGGTTGTTACTGCGTGGCGATGTGGCGATATCTGCACGGATCTTTTACGTTTGGGGCTAAAATACGGGCCTCGCATTGAATGACGCGAGCCGCGAGGCTTCAAGGTTGAACAATTTGGCTAGTGAACACACGGCGGCTCGCTGTCACCCGTGCACTCTGGTGAAATTTACGCGTAAAAATGCCCGACGTCCCTCCGCAATATACCACGTTTTCATTTGCTAATAAGGCAGACCATAACCACCATAACCACGACAGCTGTCTACGTGGGCTAAACGATTTTGTGATTTATGCAGCAAAAACAAAACACAAATGAAGGTGTGATACCTACCTTGATAGCTGTAGAGTCTACGGCTGGCGCAGAGGTAGACTGTGCCGATCGCCTAAACCAGTTGCCCAGACTCGTAAAAAAATCAGACAACAACAAAACCACGCCGGTTGTTGATGACACAGCTGTCTTGGTAAACAGAAGGGAAGGGAAATGAATCCTTTCCCAGATGTGTCAATTGACGTGGAAATAAAAAATTAGATATTCAGACGCCGATCACCGGACTGACGCCTTTTCTTGACGTGAAAGGTCTTCCATTTTTAGGGGGATAAACGGCGCACTGTACTACCGAGGATCGCTGTAGACTGGCCGGTGCGAGGTCTTATTGAAAACCAATATGCAATTCAATGCGACGTTAAAATGCTCCCCAGCCGACATCATCCTTGTGTCTGTGTTTCTTTCAAAATCATCCGCAAAAGAAACACGCTCACAAATGCGGGGATGAACAGAAAGAAGAAGAAAAAAAAAACGTCAAAACAAAAAATGCGCAGATGTCAGCGCGCTGTGCTGGTTCAAGCGCTGGGCATCCTCACTGAGCATTTGCATCCATATTAATATTCATACAGTACTTCCTGAGAGCAACCCAGTGGTTGTTTTGAGAAAACTGATTCCTGTTATCCTGCTATTTATCGCTCAGTGAAAGTGAAAGCCACAGAAACTGTTCATATTAACAGCACACTCATTAAATGTCCTTACTTTTTTTTTTAAGGCTTTTTATGCAAACAACAAAAAGCCCTTTTATTTCACCAGAGTGCTGTGATGTGCAAAAACAAAGTCAGCCTGCCATATAAAACATTGTAGGAGGATCGCGGTGATGTAATGGAGGATAAAATACTATTAAGTATAAAATAAGCTCGCCAAAAAGCCCGCGCTGAGTACCACAAAGTAGGCTAAGCCGTCAGAGGAATATTAACATTTTGTATTAACTGCCTCCAGATGACCATGCAGTGAAAGCAAAAAATATTAGAGGACATCATAATATTAAATGTGAAAATACCCACTGTTTAGTGCAGATCTATTTTCTTTCATATTTCCCGGTGATGTGATCAAACACTGGCATTTTCCTTTTTCTTTCTTTTTTTTTTTTTTAAGGTCGTTGTCACATGACCAACTAGCCAACACATGGCCTGTGTGAGGCTGACACGCCCCCTAAAGTCAACGGGAGACTATATGGGTGACTGGGTTGGAGTTAAAAGTGAATCTTTCAGATATCTAGATTAGGAGTGCTCCCTCTTGAGAAACACGCTGTAATCATGTGTATCAGTGGAATCTTTGGACTGCCACAAGTGGAGCCGTGAATCCAAAGTCCAAGTTTAGGTTTGACTAAAACTTTTCTAAATATTGATCAGTCACTGTGTTGGATGTTTATGTCATATGCATCTATCGCTGTTGGAGCCTAAAGATGATCTGCTGGGATAAAATCTGGTGTTAGCCCATTTAGGATTAATCTAACTTAAAAGCACATGCATGCTGACCTGACCTGCACCTGACACATTCCTTAAAAGTCATGTCCATAACTAACAGATTATTATCACTGTTATCAGTCAACAGTGATATTGCAACATTAGCAGCATAGGTTCAGAGGCCCAACCAGAAGAAAATCCAAGCCTTTAATGTGCAGTAGACAGGACATGAAACAAAATAATCAAATTTTTCTATGTTTAAACGGCATGGTGCTGAGCCTGGACTGACCAGTACAGTAGCAGATGACAGAAACTTCTCCACTGCACAGGATATATAAAGTCAGTGAAATAGAGATGGACCCAGTGGGACTTTAGCTCTTTATATGATTAAGGATCAGAGCAGTTGAGTGGTGGTTAGTGTTATGAGAAGTGGTGTGGCAGTATATCTACAGTACTTCAAATGTCTGCTTTGTGTTTTGTATTCATGTTGTTTTTTTTCTTGGATGCTGATGGAGAAAACCGCCACTTGAGAAAGTCAGATTTTTAAAAATTGCTCCCCTTATTCAAATTTTTCAAAATAAAGTATAAGATTTTGCATTAAATCTTTGATTGACAGGAGCAAATGTGCAAGAAGAGGAGAGCAAGGTCTGTGCTGTGGTTTATTTCTGAATGTCTCATTTTTAATATCAGTTTGTCAAAAAAAACAAACTTGATCAGTCTGAATCTAAGCCTCACTCTTTCCTTATTTGATCCTTTATGCCAAACTATTTCACTGTTGCTATACCAGTTCATTATTCCTCATTATTTTACAATAGAAATCTCTCAGTGCTGCATAGGGCACAATCACTTGACTTTCCTGAACCATGCAGGAAATGCTGAGCTTTCAGGGCAGAGCCTTATCACCAGGCAGGCATGTAGAAATGATCTCAGTAAATCAGTGAGCAAGAACAACATTTAGGAGAGAAACACATTCATGACATTTACAGTAACAGGAAAATCAGCATCAGCTCATGAGAAGACTTATAGGGAAGTCTGCTTTATGTAATTTACAAGTGAAGTGGCTGTGAAGCTGCATGAGACGATTCCTAGAAATAACACCAGCTAAAGAGACTGACATGTAATCCTGATGATCACCAGACCAAAGACAAAAAGGGCAAAATAAAATTAAATCACTGTATGTAAAAGTAGAAAGATTAAATAACTGCAGTATCTTATTAAATCCCATTAACGTTTGCTGTGTTTATCTCTGACATAAGTTACTTGTGTCACAAAGTATTGGGTGAGTGGAGTTGTTATCAGCAGCTGTACACGGTCTGGTCAAAGTGCATAGTGCTGATCTGCGGGGAAGCAACGAATCTGCATCCATTCAAATTAACTTTGGAATTAACTCTACTAAGGTAAAATACAACATTTTATGGAACTTTGCAGCATAAAAGTTGCTTTTGGTTAGGGTTAGGTCTTGTTTTACGGCGTTACTAGGCTGGGCTGCTAATAGTTTAACTTTTAAGCAGGTTAAAAAAAAATCTAGCGTGTAAGTTTGCCTGTGAGCTTGTTCATAAGCGAGTCATTTGATCAGGCTCCTGCATGTCTGCCAAGGTTTCAAGCCTCTTTCTTCCCTAAAGGAAGTTTAAGAGTACATGCTTATGTGCTGGTCATCAATGAAATCGGTTGTCTGTCATAAAGTCATCTATTTAAAATTTTATGATCTTGGATAAAGCCACTTTTGCCGTTTCAAAGGCCATACGCTATACTATTCATTACAGTCGTGACCTTTACTAAATGAGAGTCCGCATTAAAATGTTATTGATAGCTGAAAAATGATGGTTTGGCCTCCAGGTTGCAAGAATGACTCGAGAAAAAACTCAGCTGAAGGAGTTTTTAGAGTCAATAAGTGTTCTGCAGTGGGTGCTAAGCTTTCTCCTCTTGGGTAAGAAGTTGCCATACTATCCTTTTTTAATGATTTCCTAACAAACATCAGTGTATTAATTGCATTATTAATTAACTCATAAAATAAATCTCTTGCTCCTTCCCAACTCCAATGCTGGTCGACATGGCATGAAAAACATCCATCTCCAGGAGTGGCTTGTATCATACTGATGGTGTATCTTATGTTTACCTCTCTGTGGCCGCTGTCTGCTCTCTACTTTGTATGGTTGGTGATGGACTGGCATAAACCCGAAAGAGGTAAAGAAATTCAAGTATGCATGAAAATAATGACGATACGAAAAACAAAATATGCAGTTTATACACTAATAAAAGGCCTACCTTTTAAAGTGTGTAACAGCACACTCAAAAATTATGATTTACAGTATATACATGTATACTGGCTACATTAAATGGGTTTGCTGCTTAAAAATAGCTTTATTTTAGTTTTACCATTGTTTTTATAACTCTTAGTATTTAGTATACAGTTTTTGCATACTAGTGATCACATCAGGATACTCTTTAGCTTTGCTAACGTGCACTGTGAAACTGGGACACTCAGTGTTTCTAAGGTTTTCAATGTCTCCATCAGGGGGCAGAAGAACGATGTCTGTGAGAAAGTGGAAGGTATGGGAGCACATGAGAGACTACTTTCCTGTTAAAGTAAGTTTTGGGCAAATATCTTTAGATCTGTTTACATTTGCTTCCAACACACAGATGCTTACTGTGTACAGGACAGCTAATATTTTCAAAAATCTCAAACCCTATGAAATGTCCAACTGAATTCCATGTTGGGATGTTTTTGGGGTACGGAAAGATACATTTTTACTCCAGTGCACACTTGAAGCACTGGAAACAGTCAAAAGCCTGCAAGAACAAGTGTCTAATCTTTGCCTCAGTCAGATGAGTGAAAATGGGCATGGCTGTTTAACAGCAGCAACATCCATGATCACCAACATTAACCTTCTTGTGTCAATGTTCTTTCTTAGCTGGTCAAGACAGCAGAGCTGAATCCAAACAAAAACTACATCCTAGGTTCTCACCCACATGGTATCATGTGTACTGGAGCCTTTACCTGCTTCAGCACGGAGAGCTGTGGCTTTGCTGAGGCATTTCCTGGGGTGCGAGCCAGCCTGGCGATGCTGGCGGGCCTGTTCAGGATACCATTCTTTAGGGAGTACATCATGAGTGCAGGTATTTATCGCATGTTTTAGCAAGGGGACTAAACTACTCCGTTTCTTAGTCCGAGAAGCATTTTGCATTAGGCCGAAACAGCAGTTTATTGATCATACTACAGTATACAGTTCATGTTCTGCAGAAAAAAGTGATTTTACTTTGTGGAATGCAAATGGAAGAAAGAATACCTACATGTTACTGATGCTAACTGAATTTGAAAGCCTGTTGACAGTGTAGACCTGCATGTTACAGCTTAACAAAAAAGTCCCTGTTATGCTCCTGACCTGAACTACTGATGTTCTTACTCTGTCTGATAAGGACTTTACCCAGTCAGCAAACCAAGCCTGGTCCACCTCCTTTCAAAAAGCGGCAAAGGGAATGCAGTGGTAATTGTGATAGGGGGCGCTGCTGAGTCTCTGGCATCCTCTCCCGGACTCAACACAGTGGTCATGAAGGAAAGAAAGGGATTTGTCAGACTGGCCCTTGAGTTGGGGTGAGAATTATACACTAAGAAAGAAAATATATAAATATGTAAAACACTGAAACCTGAACAAACCTGAACTCTGACCTTCCACAGTGTTGATCTGGTGCCTGTTTATTCATTCGGGGAGAATGAGCTCTACCAGCAGGTGATTTTCGCAGAGGGCAGTCTGTGTCGCAGGTTACAGGACTTGTTTAAAAAAATCATGGGCTTTGCACCGTGTCTCTTTGTCGGTGAGCGCTTTGTTCTCATGCCCTACAGGACTCCAATCACGACTGTTGGTGGGTATTTTATTATTCTTTAAATAGCCAATACCACTTTTATGTACTGAGCCCATTTTATTCTCACACTGTACTCTTTTCAGTGGGAAGTCCAATCTCAGTGCCGAAACGTGTCACGCCCACAGACGAGGAAGTCGACCATTATCACAGACTTTACATGGAGGCCCTTTCCAAATTATTCCACGAACACAAGGTCAGCTGCGGACTTTCAGAAAATCACGAGCTTCGGATAATTTAGATATTTTGACATAAACTGTTTGCACTAAATACGACTTGGAGTCACTATGGATCTGACGTGATGGACCTATATTAACATTGAAGGTTTCCTGTGATCATCAGTCTATAAAAATGTGCCTGTATTTAAAACTGCTCATCACATGTTTTAAATAATTATGACGTGAAGCCTTTATGTGGCACTGCTGTTTGTATGGAAAACACTGGAGGATTATTAGTTTAATCATGTTTGGCAATAACTTTAACAACATATTGAAAAAAATTTCTCACGTGTTTCTGAAAGCTGTACATATTTGGAATGATTCAATTATTATCTCATAACATGACATACTTTTCCTTTTTTGTTTGCATTATTAAAACAATCCCACTAGTTTCATGAACAAAAGAAAAAAATCTTACTGGATATTGTGTTGTTTTGAGCTGTACCCCCCCCCCAAAAAAAGCTGTGTATTATTTAAGATCCACTAAAAAATTATGATGCACTTTGT